ATTTGCCACGGAATTTATTGGAAGTTAAAATGAAAGATAATAATTCATATTTAACAATGTGATATTTTGATTGTTTTTAAGGCTTTTTAAAGTAGTTAAAGGTCTAAAAATACCTATCCTCATGTACTTCTATTGAAAATAGACCATAAAAGAAACCACCAATAGGTTATATTTTTTCTATTATCGTTACACATTCGTTCTGTATTCGTTTTTAACATTGTTTCTTCCCTTTTTTAATAATTTCGCTAATTCTAACGATAATTTTATTATTATTTTTTAATATTTTATTATTCGCAAAATAAATGGTTCCGGTACTGCAATAAATAAAATATAATGGGTCGATTATGGAAGGCAACCAAACTCCAGTTGCGAGTTCAACTGGCAACGCAATTGAAATAAAACTTAACATTATGGATATCAACTTTACTCATTGTTGAAGAAAAAGAATGTGAGTCAAAATGTTCGAAATAGAGTAAGAGTTCACTCTAAGAGTGAAATCGAGTGGACAAATAAATTTGGTTGTTTGGTTATTTGTATGTGTGTAGTAGAAAAAAAATTTTTGATGTTGATCTTTTGTGTGCTTATTATGTTCAAAAAACATAAAAGGACATTGATTATTTTGTTTATTGAAAATGGTTACACATGTGAGGTACAAATAAAAATCTTATATGAAATGACTTACATAAAGATAACGCAGAGAACGAGCTTGTTGATGCATGCTTTCTCAGCAGTACTGCAAACCAAACATCATAAAACAAACAAACAACATCAAGTAAAACAACGGTATCACAAACAAACAAAAATAAATGAAAATAAAAGAGTACTCGGTAAGAGTGTAATCTGCTCGATTTCGAGCGTATTTCACTCCCACTCGAAAACGAGCGAAGCACTTGCGCTCTTATTTGAGTGGTAGAGAAAAATAGAGTATACTCTATTTACTTTTTGTACTCGCAGGAGTACTCCCGCTCGAATTCGAGCAAGTTTTACTCTTTACTCGAATTCGAGCGAGCATTTCGGAGCTCTGGTGCTGATGATAGCTGGCAACAACCGGATGCTAAAAATTATGTCTGCGACGACAATGAAACATACGAATGTTCCGAAGGAATTACATCAATTCTGAATTTAAACAGTGATTGCTTTGGAATCATATTTGGATATTTATCGCTTAAGGATCAAGTCAGTGTGGCACGAACATGTGGCCGTTTAAGAAGTCACTTTGAAATGTATGCCAAGCGCGAATATAAATGTTTCGAACCAAACCTTTTCTATTATTTCGAACTAACGTTGTGGGAAGTACGTGATTTTCTGGAAATTGTCGGTCCCCACATGGTGAAGTTTGTGGACTATGCTAAAGGACAAGATTGTCCCTATCGCATTTTGGAATTTGTCACTTTATATTGTACTAATCTCAGTGAGCTTTTAATGAGAGAAACCAGATTGAAGACATCTGTATTTACAAATATGTGTAATTCGCTACATTCACTAGATCTAACATATACAGATATTTGTGATTCCCATGTTGCGATCTTTAAGAAGTTGAAGAAATTGAAAAACCTAACATTGGCGTCCAATACCAAATTAACAGGTAATTATAAAAAAGATCTGAAATACTAACATGCTACCATAATAGTCTCGGTTAATGGATCAAATGAAAAATTTACGTAACAATGAGTTCTCACGGAGTTTAATATTTGGTTTCTCATTATACCACACTGTGGTACAGGGTATTAAGTCTTTGTGCATATGTTTGTAACAGGCAAAAAGAAACGAGATAGACACATGGTTCCTTTTGAGAATATGCATAGAATCACTTTCTGTCCGTACAGGTCGCATTTATGATCCGATTTGGATGAAATTTGACACAAGTCACTTATTTAGCCCAAAAACGAACCCTATTGAAATCGGGTCAGATTTAGATATAGCTCCCATATATTTTTAAGGTAAATAGGGCACCAAAGTCCCTATATATCTTTCGATTTAGGTCCAGAATGATGTGTGCTAAGTTTCGTGAAAATGAGTTCAGATTTAGATATAGGTTCCGTGTATGATTTCGTCCGATTTTATGTTAATGGTGCACCAATGTCCCTATATATCTTTCGATATGCACGAAATTCTGCATAGTGAACTGAATTGAGTCTAGAATGACGTGTGTGAAGTTTCCAGAAAATCGGTCCAGATTTAGATATAGCTCCCATATATATTTTCGTCTGATTTTAGGTAAATAGTGTACCAAAGTCCCTTTATATCCTCCGATTTGCACGAAATTTCGCATAGCGTAGTGAATTGAGTCTAGAATAATGAGTGGTCAGTTTCGGGAAAATCGGTTCAGTTTTGTATATAGTTCCCATATGTATTTTCGTCCGATTTATAGTAAATTGTTCACTATAGACCCATAGCTTGGTCGACTGACACAACGTCCTGAAATAACATTCCCTTCGAAAAGGCGATGTCTGTTACGATACATACGTAGAATATACCCAAAGTGGTGAAGGGTATCATATAGTCGGCCCAGTCAGACTTTACTACTTTCCTTACTAGTTTCGTATTAAAACATTTCTGTTTAATAATCTTTTAGGCAAACATATTAGGCATCTGAAAACGGTGGAATATTTGGATTTGACTGATTGTAAAAATATGCAGAATGACAACTTGTTGAAAATATGCAAAAAACTAACTGAATTACATACACTTGCTATTCTCAAGTGCAGAAATTTGGAATCTACAATAGACATAGCGAAAATGGTTAAATATTTAAATAATCTTCGAAAATTGGAAATCAGCTGTTTATATTCGAAACAAGTTGATCTCTTGGCCAAGTTACCGAAACTGAAAGACCTTCATTACCGTACCCCTGATGACATTGGAATTAGCTTCATTAATAAGCTAGCCAGACACAAGAGCGATCAATTGATTTCGTTACGTTTGGAAGCTAACCGATTTTTGAGTTCAGAGAGTGCGAAACAAATCTCGAAATTAAAGAAACTAAAAGGGTTGGGGTGTTACACTCGTGGTGTAGTCATAGACGAATATGTAGAAAAGCTAGCACTTCTCCCGGAATTGGAACAGCTGACAATTTCCTGCCCTACATATGGACACGAAATGGAAAATGGACTATTGAATGTAATTAGATATTGTCGAAATTTGGCCAAACTTGACCTAAGCGGCTGTTTCAAAGTAGAGTCAACCTTTATCATTAATGTTTGTTTGCTGTTAAGGGACGAACGTGTACAAATGCAACGAAAGATACCATTGATTCTTTGGGTCCCAACGGTCTATAATCGAGGTATTGTAGAGTGCGATGAGATGGTTTGGATGAACTTGGATTTGTCACGGAATTTATTGCAAGTTGAAATGGAAGATAATTATGCATGACTAACAATGCGATATTGTGATTGTTTTTAAGGCTTATTAAAGTAGTTGAAGGTCTAAAAATACCTATCCTCATGTACTTCTATTGAAAATAGACCATAAAAGAGACCACCAATAGGTTATATTTTTTCTATTTTCGTTGCACATTTATTCTGTATTCGTTTTTAACATTGTTTCTTCCCTTTTTTTAGTAATTTCGCTAATTCTAACGATAATTTTATTATTATTGTTTAATATTTTATTATTCGCAACATAAATGGTTCCCGTACTGCAATAATAAAATATAAATATATTATTTAAATAATAAAAAATATATATATATATATATATAATAAAAAAAACTCCAACCTGCTATTATTATTTAATTAATATTTATAATAAATTGTATTTTAATTATAAAGTAAATAATTTAAATGAATCTTTAGTAAAGGATGAGTACCAACGAGTACCTAGTATTAGAATCCTTATAAAAATTTGGATCTATGTGAATTTGTACTTTCGTACAATTTGGGTTTTTTGATCCAGTTCTTTACGATATATCTATCATAAATCACAAAAATCACTATGCGTCTAATTGGAATTGTTAAGAATACCCAATATTTTTTTTACGAAAAATTCATAATCTATACAAATTACTTAATCTCCAAATAGAGATATTTAGGAATTATGTCTGCCAACCATAGGCCATTGGAGGATATAGATATTGGACTTATAGAATGTATAAAGCTATCATCATGCCTATACGATAATCGGCACCCAGATTTTTGCCTGGCCTACAAGAAAGATATACAATGGAGCCGGGTGGATGACCATCTGGGTATGTCCTCTTTGGAGGTACGCAAACGTTGGACCGTGCTGAGAGATCGCTATGCCAGGGAATTGAAACAAATGTATATGAGGCGTATGACAAAACAGATTTCTTCAATCGAATGGATTTTCTGCGTAATTTTGTAAAGAAACGGCAGGTACGCAAGGATGTGATGCTGGTGGTTAGGAAAATCACACAGGATAAATGTGTGGTGTGTGGGGGTGGTGATAGTGAAACCACACAGATGAAATCGGAAAAATATAATTTAAATGATAATACAGGAGAGGAACAAGAAGTGGACGAGCTAGAAGAGAAGTCAGGATAAAGAACAGCATCTGAAATAAAATGCGCATCATACACTGAGGATGATGCCACTCAGTGTTCTGTGATGCAAAGTCATGATTGCGACGAAGAACATTGTGGTGGTAAGTAATTAGTTAATTTTTTCACAAAAAAAAAAGAAATAGAGTTTTGCAGACGCAAAATAATTCCTGTACATCATCAACCTCATATGTCCATTACGCTGCTTTATCGTATACCACCGAAGACATTAAACCAAATATAGCGAAACAAATAAATTGCCCCGTTGAACAAGAAAACCCAAAAAGCAAAATGGAAAGTAATTGCCGTATCGCGACGTTATAAAATCAAGGCCCAAGTTGAAATAATGCAAATATTAGAAAAACGCATAGACCTAGAAGAAACCGCACATTAAGTATTTTGGAATAGAAAATCATTATATATATTCTTAAACATTTGATTGTACATAAATATACATGTAAATAGGTATATAAGTAAAAAAAATACCCCCGAGACTCTACAATTAACAGAAATCTTCATTAATTATATCTGTGTTGACGGCTAAGCCACGTTCTTTTAAAGCCTTCGATATGAGACGATGTTTTTCCTGGCGTTGTTCCTGCTCCCGTCTCTGGGCATCTAGTATATCATCGACGGAGATTTCCTTTAGGGGCAATTTAGATTCCTTTTCACGATCCTGTATACAAATCAATCAATCAAGTTAAAAATCTTCCTCCATGCGGAATTTACTTACAATTTCACCCAGAAGTACAACATTTTCGCCACGTATAATAAATACACCGCGTGGTATATCGCCATATTCATTGCCAACATGTATCCTTTCGATGGTACGATGCAATACCAAATTGGCAAATTGATCCACCGAACGTAAATATCCAATCAGGGTACGACCATCTCTCAGCAAGACCATCAATTTCTCTGCAAAAAAATTCAAGTCGTTGAAATATATGTATGTATATATTGTCTTCGAGGTGTGTGTGTGTTTGTGACTTACTATCTACCTCTTCCAAAAGATGGGCAGTACCGGCCAATGGATTTAAATCATCCATAGTTTATTTTGTTTTGTGTTAATTAATTTCTTTAGATTAATTTTCTTCTGTGACAATATCCTAGGATGTTTGCATTGTTGTTTTGTTTTTTGCGTTTATCGATACTAATCGATTTCCATGTTGCTGTTGTTAAAAAAAACATCGGTTGATAGTTGAAGACCGACCAGCTGATTAACAAAAGGGAACAAGGCAGGTTCTCATTGGATCATGCAAGATTACTGGTGTTTTATGTCAAATTTTTACAGGGTTTACCAAGGTCTATATAAGGTCGGACAGTAAGCACAGGGTAGTATAAAGTTTGCTGTCAAATTATATTTTGTAAACCTACACATACATACAAAATTATGTTAGACGTCAAAACGAAAATAATATTATTTCATCAACATTCAATTCAATTTTAATTTATATTGTCTTTTGTAAATTATTCTACAAATTATAAATTGTGTTGTATTTTGGCACTGTTTTTTACTTAAGCGTTGTACACACTTTTTGAGTGACAGATTCGATAACTTATCTGTTGCTACAGTTTTGTTGTGTTGTTTGTAGCGACCATATTATCGCTCAAGGGCTAAGCAAGAATCTACTAATTTGTATAATTTTTTACAATAAATAATGTAATTTTTACAATTTTTTACAATAAATAATGTAATTTTTTGCATGTTATTCATACGCAGCCATTACCAAAACCCATTTCATCTCAAAAGGATTTAGGTGAGACTAGTTCCATTCGGTTTCTCAGTGTTTCCTTAATGTGAATTTGGTTCAATGCAAACATTAATGTCAGCTGATGATGGCATCTCTTTCTGACACCAACATAATCGATGACTCTCAGTTATCGATTGACGATAATCCAACACAAAACAACAACAACAGATGATGAGACAAGAATCATTTGGTGATGAAGAAGAACATTGTTTAATCGTGAAATTTCTACGAAACTCCGCAACAAGAAAAATACCCAATAAATAATTAAAGAAATAACGAAAATAAAAGTGTATTGAAGTGAAGAAAAATATTGTAGGTATAGATTAATTAAAAAACGGCCTACGGCTGATATCTTGTGCGGCGGTATTTATGACAAGCCATAACAACAACAACGAAAGCTAGAGAAGAAAAGAAACGAACCCAAAAGATCTCTCTGTGCAATTGATTCAAGCAATTGTGTAATACATGCTTTTGTGTGATATGCATGCTTGCAAAAAGACAAGCGTTTAGCAAAAAATAAAAAAAGAGTGACAAAACTATGGGATAAAGAAATTCCCCCAACCACAGCAGAAGCAAAAAAAAAGTATATCCAATTGGTGGCTCCGCCGCTTGCACATAGTCCATAGTCACTTGTGCCCCCCGTGTGTGTGAGTGTGTGCGGTGTTGTGTGTTATTGAAAAAAAGTGGGGGAAGGAAAATAAGAAGAACAAAAAACCCCATATTGTTATTGTTGTTCTTGTCTTTTCATTAGTTTTTCTTTTTTCTTTAACAGAGATTCTGGCAATCGCGAAAGAAAATCCTTCTTCCCAACCGAAATAATCGATTCTTTGATAGAATCAACTGGGAGAAAAAAAGGAAAATTATATTCAATAAAAAACCAAATTGTCAAAATTTAATTGATCTTTACAAAACGACGGCTTCTACAATCCTGGAAAACCAAACCAAACAAAAAAATTATAATAATTTTCCGACAAAATGAATGCCTTTGTGCGAAGTTATAAAAAGTGTGGCCTGCAGAAGCATGTTGCAAAGAAATGTAAGTAAATATTTTGCTTTTTTTGTGCACACAATTTTTTTCACATGTTTTTTTCTTGTTGTTGTTGTAGTTTACAAAATACACGTATTTGTGTTTGGTTGAGTTAGCAGTTCAGCTGTGAGAAAATAAGAAACAAAAACCACAACAACAAACATCTTGAAAACTTTCCATTGTATTTTTTATGCAAAATCAATTGTATTTTGGATTTGATTTTGGTAGGCTGCGTTATTATTTGCAGTGACGTGATTTTTGTTTTTATCACAGCATTGTAGAGTTGCCAAAGTATTTAAAGATTTTGCAAAAGTTAGAGGCGATAATAATAATATGTTTGCAAGTAAAAATGTCGCGATCGCCGGACCGAACGTTGGATATTAACAAAATACCATTAATGGCGGGATATGTCATGGTCAATTTTGGCGTAGGAAGATTTGACAACCAAAATAAAAGCCAATTCGTTTAAAAAACGTACCCAAATACTGAGTAATAGCGTTATATGATGAAAGTTGGCATATGTCACTTATTTGGCCCAAGGACGAACCCTATTGAAATTGGGAAAAATCAGTTCAGATTTAGATATAGCTCCCTATATATCATTCGATTTGCACGAAATTTGGCACAGTGCACTGAATTAAGTCTAGAATGATGTGTGCTAAGTTTCGTAAAAATCGGTTCAGATTTAGATATAGCTCCCATATATATTTTCATCCGATTTTATGTAAATGGTGCCCCAATGTCCCCATATATCATTCGATTTGCACGAAATTTGGCACAGTGCACTGAATTAAGTCTAGAATGATGTGCGAAAAGTTTCGTGAAAATCAGTTCATATTTAGATATAGCTTCCATATATATTTTCATCTGATTTTATGTAAATAGTGCACCTAAGTCTATATCTACAATTCTGCTTGTATTGAATTGAATATAAACACTTCGTTGCTGGTTTGAAAATGTTTTCTATTGAAATGGAAAAATGCTTGCATCAACTTCTATGCCAAATAGTTTGGCAAATAGATGCTTCCCTTTCTGTTCGAGGTTATTTTGTTTTTGCATAAACTTGAACAAAACGAAGGTGTTTGTTTACCCAATTGAATAAATTGGGTTAATGCTCTTAGCTGGCAAATAGAACAAAAAATGAAATGAAACAAAAGCGAAAGCAGCACAATACTTTTACACAAAGGGTAGGATAGGTAAAAATATATATTTTATTCTATTATATATTTTTGGCAATTATCTCTTTTTAGACTATATAAAGCTAATTTTTATTATCATATATATGTTTGTATATATTCTAGTATCGAAAAAGAACCATAGTCGTAGAGGAGAACAACGAGCAGGGCAGTATTAATTTCAATTTGATCAAGGGGTGCCATTTCCGAAAATTTCTGTAAGAACCGTAGGTCTCCCATACACAAAATAGTCCATAGTTATGAGATTCAATCAACAAAAAAGGCTATAAGGAGACGCGTGAGGCACATTTCGGACTTTATTTCAACATTCCAAATCTGCATTTATTTCATCTAAAAAAATTGAGGAATAAGGCTGAAGGGAAACTAGCGTCTCCTGTAGTCCCTATCCCTAACAACAGATTTCAATTCATGAATCTGCTCGTCGGCAAATTTCTATACAATTTCCCTTATCAATGAATTTTTTTAAAACCTGTTATTAGATATGTATGATTGCATCATTTAAATTGTGCACACGATGGCTAGACAAAGTGGCGCTCACGATCACATATTCACTAAGATTCCGCAGGCGAAATTAGAAATGCCATAAAAAACCAAACAAACACGTTGCATACAGAAGATCTGCAGGTACAGTTCGATGACTCACCAGGCATTCATTCTCATTTTTTATATTAAGATCTGAAGAATTTTTTTTGTTTTGTTTTTGGTAACAAATTATGTGGGTCAATAATCTTCTTTTTTGTTTGTACAGACAAAGAAATACCGACAGATTTTATTGGGGTAATTTTTTTGTTTCGCACTTTGTTTCCACTGTCCGCCCTTTCAACTCCAAAAAAATGAAATAAATCAAATTACCTTTGCCTTTCCTATCTCTCCATCGAGAAAGTAATTTTTTTCCTTTCATTCGAAATAAATTCAATATTCAATTCAATATCAATTTTTTTCTTGTGAATTTCCAAAATTATATTTTTGTGACAAAAATTTGTTTTCCTATTTTTAATCGCGGGGGTAAAAAAATGAATGTACCAAAGAAAATAAATCGCCACGTCTTGAAGGCATTAAATATTTTATGCGATGGAAATGTCCGGAAGTCGATACCCATTGAGGATGTCATCAATCAAGTGGAGTATCAGATGAGAAATTTAGTACCAGTTGCCAATTTGGAGACAACCATCAAACAGGCATTGGACAATTTAAGCGAAGTGGGTTTAATTTTAAAGAAAAACGAAAATTCCTTTGCCATTGGCCATTCCTTTGGCGAAAAAGTTGGTGGTGGTGGACCAAGAAAAAATATTTCACCACTACACCGAAAATATTTCGAACCAAGGGTAAGAAAGAGGAAAAGAAAAACATGTCTCTTGTTTGTCATTCATTATTTGTTGTCTGTCTGGCGGCGCGCGCCCTCTTCCTCCATAGGTTGCACGCAAACGTAGTTCCCGCAATTTGGATCCGAATTCCCATCCAAATCGTCACAACAATAGTCTAGAATCCATATCGGGTGATGAATATGATCAGGCCCGCAAACGTTTGCGTACGAATAATAAGAAATTCCGCTTTGGTGGCGGTAAGGTTGATCTGCCCAAATCGAAAAATCATCATCACAGTCGACAACGGGAGGATATTCAAGGATATTTAAGTGCTGGTGATGACATCATGGATTATAGTTTTTATTTGTCTGAATGGCTAAGCACAAATCCTACTCCGCTCTTGATAATGACCACAAATTCAGCACAACAACAACCTCAACAACAGTCATTTATGCCTTGTGCCTACTTCCCCACGCTGCCAGCGTCTGTGGAAATAACCGAAATACCAACAGATGGGACAGAATACACCAAAACCATGCAAAGAGGACGCAATGCTCCACGTAAAATGGAAATAAAATTGCAGAGAATTGCCGAAGGGGAACAAGAAGAAAAAGCCGAGGGTCCATCAACATCCCAACAACAACAAGAGAACGATTGTAGCAAATTGAAACTTCCACAGAAGGAGGAAAATGATGAAAACAAGAAATCCCAGCAAACTTTGACAAAACAGTCAACAATTGAAATCAATTCTAACACACCTTCAAGCCAGCAACAGCAACAAAAACAATCGGAAATTAATATCACCAAACATGATGTAGCAATACGCAAATCCTTGTCAGTTCCATCCGCCACCAATATTGCAGATTTGGAAACAATTTTAGCTCCCAGATCAATGAGTTATTTAAATTAAAAAATTATAAATATTTTTTTGATTTCGATTTTATCCGTTCGATTTTTTGTTCTTCGATTGTGTAAAATTGTGTGTCAATGGCTGAGATATGTATTTCAATTAAAATTTATATACTATATTTTTATTTGTTGTACATTTTTTAAAAGAAATTTGTGCTTTAGCTCGTCTATTAAGCCACCTTACAGCTTTTATCGTCATTCAACTCCTCTATAAATTCTTTGCCCTTTCAGCTCGTTTATAAACTTCTACTTCAGCTCGTCTGTAAAAACTCCCTTCAACTATTCGTAAAGAATTCCTCAGCTCCCCTTTAGGACGTCTATAAATATACAGCTCCTCTATAAAAACTGCATTCCGCTCGCGTATTAATATACTCTACCGTTAGCCTATATAGGCCACTATCAATAAATCGTTCAGATCGTCTATAAAGATTCTCTCCACCATATGCTTTTCTATAGACTCCAGCCCGCCTATAAAGACTGCCTTCAGCTCGTCCAAAAAGGCTCCCTTCAGCTCTTCTATAAATATTTTTCTCAGGCTCCCTTCAGCTCTTCTATCTTGCTCCAGTGATTTCGCCTCCAATTCAGCCTTCCTCAGCTCTTTAGCACTGACATCTGAACCGTGTAGCGATTTCTCCTTTTTTTTCTTCTCCAAATCCAGTCCAGCACCGTATCCAATTGATCAATCATGCTATTGACCTTTTTGAATAGCATTTTGGCGGCACGACTCTCACCAAAGCGTAGCTCAGCCATCTGACGCAACTCACGTAACTCTTCCGCATCTTTTTTGTATTCCTCCAGCACCTTGACCTTGAGGTCTTTGATGGTTTCTTTTTCGACAACCATTTTCTTGTCGCTCCACAGAGATTTCAAGGCTTCGCTGAGCAGCTCTACATCCTTGGAGGTGAGAGTGTTCTCTTCGAACTCATGGGCCTTGGCTGTCATAACTTCTTTGGTCTTTTGCTTGGGGGCAGTTAGAATCACAGGTTTGGCAGTGGACGGTTGAAAAAAATTTTTCTAGTCTATCCACCATGCTGGACTCCATTGCGACATCAATGGTGGCTGTCTTATCGGCGAGGGTCCACGATGACTTTATCCGCAGCCTTAACCTTTCTTTCTTCTTCATTCTCCTCTTCCATTTCCTCCTTGATTTTACGTTCCTCCTCTTTGACGATTTGAATTTTAGTCTTGTTATCGATTTTACCCTCACGTTCGCCAATGGCCGCCTTAGTTTGTTCAGCCAATGAGTCGGGCAATAAACGTATAGTTTCCTTGAGCTTATCAGTGGTCACGCGATCATCGGAGTGTTGGTATTGGTATTTTTCATTCCTGTAGCTGGGTGCGCATTTTCATTTGGGTCATGCCCTAGGTAAGCATACCTCTGCCCTAGCAGGCCTGCTGTAGCTCCCATCCGTCAATAGATTTGACACCTTCACGGGCTATGACCCGATCATTAGCTGCCAAGGAACGTAACTTCATGGGTAACTGAAAACGTAAAATATTGACGGTGCCCACTTCCAATACTTTACACAGTGGCCACTTCGAAGCGAACTTAATAAAGATATCGGCAACAGTAATTTTCCAGAAGGGGGCAATGATTAACACAGCGAAGGGAATCAAACGAAACAGATCGGAGGTGGTGCGCCCCAGAGCTTGTTTTCACGGCCTGTCAATGTTTTGCCGTTTAGGAGTTTGCGACAAATGTTGATGTCAATGAAAAGGAGACGGAGACCGTGACAGTAACGGACAATTTCCTCCCAAATGCGGGTTTTCAGAGATTTTCAGAGATTTCTTCACAGACAATTGCGGCTTCGTCTAAAAACCTATGGTATAAAGATGATCTATGATCTTTAGACATACTAAGTGGTCTCTATGGAGATTAGAGGTGTCCATAAAGACCTAAGATCTCGTGTACAGACCAAATGGTCATTATAAAAATTTGTGGTTTTTCATAAAGACCTGTGGTAGTTATACAGACCAATTGGTATTTCTAAAAACCTGTGTTGTTTCCTATGTTTCCTATTTATATAAGCCATTAGATCATTTTGGAATTAACACACCAATATCAATATCATATTCCGTATATACCTTTGCTGCCCTGGCCATAGCTGTCACGCACATAGTCATAATAATAACTATATTATGATTAACACTTGATAATCAAATGTGAAGGTAGACGTCGACGATATGATGACATGATAATCGGGGCGGGCAAAATACATCAAGAACAAACAAAACAACAACAGCAACAACTTGAAAGATAAAAGTAAACACAAACAGTTTGAAAATAAGAGAAAATAAAAAAAAAACAAAATAGCGAAAACTCTGATAACAATGTTAATTATGATGAATGTGATGGTGATGATGATGACGAGGAGGAGGAAGGAGGTGGATGGGTTTTGAGAAATAAACAAGTCTAGCAAAGTGCTTATATATTTCAATTTGAGTTACAATAAATTACTTAATTTAGTGTTTCGAATTAAAAATTGAGTGTAATCAAAAACAGGTTTCATTTTATTTTTTTTTTCAATATTATCTCCAATCGTTTTTAATCTCTAAAATCCGTTATCATTTTGGGGCAGGGTGGTGGCTATCAGTAATTCGAAACTAGAAAAAAATATGTCAAAAAGTCAAAAATTTTAATTTAAGGTTCCTTCTCATTTTTAGATTGGGCAATAGGTTTATTTTTTTATTATTTTACTTTAGATACGATTTCAGAATTTTTTTATGAAGTAACTAATTTGACCACATAATAATCCTTTTTCTTCTCCCCCCTTTTTTCAGATGCTGTCCACACCAACGCCCACAATCGTTCTCATTTTGCTTTGAAATATCGCATCGAACCCTATAGTGGAGCTGCTGCTACTGCTGCAGCTACTGGAGGATCTTTGCAACATGGCATCAGTCGCTCTGCATTATTACCCGGCCACTATTATCTACCATTGGCCGCTGGTAGCTTTTATGATACCACCACCACCATCCTAAACAGCAGCAGCTATCGTTCCCTCCATATCAGTCATCGTCGCTATGAACAACCATCCTCGAAGGTCGAAGTCACCGTTCAGACCATGAAAAACAAACAAAAAGAAAAAGTTGAAGAAATTTTAAAAGAGGTTGCCAATGGTAATGCAGCTGCTGCTGCAACTCCCAATGCCGTCACGGCCGCTGCCTCTGTCGTCACTGAGACCAGCACCGCCAACAAATTAGCCGAATCACCACCCAAACAATTAGCCGTGAAGAAATCCCTGAAAACCCGCATTTGGGAGGAAATTGTTCACTACTACCACGGTTTTCGGCTCCTCTTCATTGACATCAACATTTGTCGCAAACTCCTGTGGCGCGTCCTAAACGGCAAAACTTTGACACGCCGTGAAAACAAACTACTGGTGCGTACCACCTCCGATCTGTTTCGTTTGATTCCCTTCTCGGTGTTTATCATTGTCCCCTTCATGGAATTATTGTTGCCGGTCTTCATAAAATTTTTCCCCGGCATGTTACCCTCAACATTCCAAACCACCAAAGAACGTGAAGATAAACTGAAACAGAATCTGCAGGTACGTCTCGAAATGGCCAAGTTCTTACAAAAGACTCTCGATGAAATGGCCGTCCAGCACAAGGAACACAAAAGTGAGGAGGCCAAACAGTTCGATAACTTTTTCCAGAAAATCAAAAATCCCACCGAATATGTATCCAATGAGGAGATCATCAAATATGCCAAGCGATTTGAGGATGAAATCACTTTGGACTCTTTGACAAGGGAACAGCTGGCCGCACTGTGCAAAGTATTGGAACTGAATACCGTGGGCACCACCAACTTCCTGAGATTCCAACTGCGCATGAAGTTACGTTCCTTGGCAGCTGATGATCGCGTCATCGCCCGTGAAGGTGTCAACTCTCTCGATTTGTGGGAGCTACAACAGGCCTGCAAGGCCAGAGGTATGCGTGCCTATGGCCTGACCCAGGAGAAAATGCGCACCCAACTACAGGAATGGATTGATTTGTCGCTAAACGAAAAAGTACCACCCACGCTGTTGTTGCTTTCCCGCACCATGCTCATCTCCGATGACAGCATGACCACAGATAAGCTCAAGGAAACCATACGTGTATTGCCCGACTCATTGGCGGCACAAACTAAGGCAGCCATTGGGGAACGTGAGGGTAAAATCGACAACAAGACTAAGATTCAAATCATCAAAGAGGAGGAACGTAAAATCAAGGAGGAAATGGAAGAGGAGAAGGAAGAAGAAAAGGCCAAGGCTGCGGATAAAGTCCTCGTGGATGCAGCTGCTGCTGCAGCCGATAAGGCAGCCACCATTGATGTCACAAAGGAGGCCAGCATGGTGGATACCGCTCGTGATGTCACCGACACCACCGGCATCGTTGAGCCGCCCACCCCCAAACCTGTGGTTCTAACTGCCGCCGAGCAAAAGACCAAAGAAGATGTGGCCGCCAAGGCCCAAGAGGCCGAGGAGAACACTCTCACCTCCAAGGATGTAGAGCTGCTCAGCGAAGCCTTGAAATCTCTGTCGAGCGACAAGAAAATGGTTGTCGAAAAGGAAACCATCAAAGACCTCAAGGAAGAGCTGGAAGAATACAAAGAAGATGTGGAAGAATTGCGTGAGGTGCGCCAGGTGGTTAAGGAGCCCGTTCGCGAAAGTCGTGCGGCCAAAATGCTATTCAAAAAGGTCAATAGCATGATTGGCCAGTTGGATAAGGTGCTGGACGATTTGGAGAAGAAACAAAAGGAGAAAGCGCTACCCGGTGCGGATGTTAGTGCCGAAGAGCTGAGAAAGGCTGAATTGGAGGCGAAATCACTGGAGGAGGATATTGTACAAATTGAGGATTTGGTGCAGACCATTAAGAAGGTAAGGAAAAAAGGGGGATTAAAAAATATTATAGTGAGTCGTGGGTTCAGAAAAAAATATTTTTTTGAGGTTTTGTTTTTAATTTTATTTTTTGAGGTTATAGTGAATAATGAATTAAAAAAAAATATTCTTTCAAATTATAGTAAGTTTTTAAGATTTGAAAAAAAACATTTTTTGGATTTTTTAAAAAAAAATATTTTTTGAGGTTAGATTTAAAAAAAAATCTTGTTGGAGTAAAAAAAAAAATCTTTTGATGTCGTGTATTTAAATTTTTTTTTTTGAAGTTATAACAAAGCTTAGAATTAATTTTTTGAGGTTATAGTGAGCGTGGATTTGTTAAAAATATTTTTTCATCCTCTTCCAGTTAAAACAAACCTCCGATGAGTCCAGACTTAAACAAATCGAAAATGTGCTCAGTAAATTGGATGCCGACAAGGATGGTGCCATTTCTGTCGATGAGGTACTCAAGGTAAGTTGGAAAAAATATATTTCCAAAATAACAACTATTAATGATCATCTTGTTAAATAACAGGTCATTGAAGCCATTGGTCGGGAAAATGTGAAATTGGATGAAAAACAATTGGAAGAATTGATTTCGCTGTTGGATAAGGAACAAGTGATTGAGACACAGGATAAAATTGAAAAGGCCCTGGCCAAGAGTATAAAGGAAGCGGATAATGTTAAGAAATTGGCCGAAGAAATTGCTGATGCAGCTGCTGCTGCAGCAGCGGCAGCTAAAAATAATCCCTTGACGGAAGATCTGAGGGATTGTGCTAAGGTGGTAAAGGAAAATGCCTTAGATTTGGATGCCTTGGATGGCAAGAATGTTTTGAAGGCGAAGGAGGTGAGTTGTTTTGGCAATAATAGATTCGATTTAGATTTTAATGTTGGTTGTTTCTGTTTTTTAGGGCTCTTCGGATGCCGCCTTGTTGGAAGCTGCCGAAAAGCAAAAAGAGAAAATTTTACCCAAAACCGATATTAGCTCAACCATGCCACCCAGCATACCACCTACCACAACAACAAGCAAAACTACACCCACAAATTCAACGAAAGATAAAATGATATGACTCGCTAAAGCTGTAGGAGCAGAAGATGATGATCCGAGTGAGAGACGAAACAATGCAAATGTGGACAATAAACCTAGTAACAAGAAGAAGAACTAAATTTAACAACAAAAAGGCTGGAGATATACCTTCCCCTTTCCCCTCAGCTGCAAATGTATTACTAGGCCACCACCGACCACCGTTCTTTACAGTTCTTTATCTGCTGCTGCTGTGTATATGTGTCTGTTTGTCTGTCTGTCCAGCCAAGGCAGGGCTCTTCTCCTATAGGCGTATGTTTCTAATTCCTTGTTAAGCTTATGATTTTTTTACATACATATATATTCGTAATTCGTAAATGTCGACTTATGGTTTTTTCATAAATGGAACATGTTTACAAACAAAATAAATAAGAAAACAACAACAATTACTTAATAGTACCTTAAATGATGACAAACGATAATTATTTATAGTCAATACCACACACACATACCTATTTTTCTATCCATGTCCTTCCTATTTTTTCTTTTAAATTTTCCTTATAAATGTTTGCCTTTTTCTGTTTGTTGTATATTTTATTATTTTTTTAGAAATAAACAATGGAACTTGTAAAAATAGAAAACTAATTAAAATTAGATTGAAACGAAGGCTGTTTTAAGTGATTTCAAAATAATATTATTATTTTCGTTTTATATTTTAATAACGTTTTTTGCTTTCTTTCTTTCGTTTTTTATTTTATTTCCTAATATTCTTTCCATTAAGTTTTCGTTTTAGTTTTTGGTGTTTGTTTTTTTTTCCTTTTCACTTCAACGAGAAGTATTTAAAAAAATGAATTAAAAAAACTAAGAATTTAATTTATTAAAAAAAAAATAAAAACCAAAACTACTAGCACAAAAATTATTATTACTATTATTTCTAATACAAAACAATGTCAAACAATGTTTGTATAATTAATTTAATAAAATAAAAAACTAAAACAATAACAAAACAATTGATATGTGAATGCTGTTGCTTTAAAATCAAGAACAACAATATAATAAAGATATTTTTTATATATACATATGAGTAATAAACCAAAAAAAGAAAAAATAAATAAATAAATAATTTGATGTTTATATATTACGACTAAACGAGCCTCCTCCCCCCTAAGAAGGAAGTTATCCTTCCATCTTAATTTATTTCTGCTTAATTTAAAAAAAATGAAACCAATTTTAAATAGTTTTAAAACAAGTTAGGCCTAAGTTTTGTTATATAATAAATAACAAAAAGTATATATATATATATATATATATATATATATATATATATAATAAATTGGAAAATCCAGGAAGAACGACCCCAAGATAAAGAATGAAAACATAACCTAAGAAATTGATCGATATCGTTTTATTCCAATAGGGGATTAAAATATTTTTTTAGGCTATTGCAAGGCTTGGATTTAAAAAATTATTTTTTCAAGTCAACCACAAGGCATGGATTTTTTTAAAAAATGTTTTTTTCAAAGAACCACAAGGCGCCAATTGTCCCGAATAGTGTTCTAATTATATTTTTCGAATTGTGGTACGAAACTTTCAGCGTCTCTAGATTGTGGGCCACTGAATTCAAAAATTACATTTGTATCCTTTTTTCTTATCAGGATAAACGACAGGATCAATTTTTGGGCTGTGGCCGTATGTTCACACTAGCACTGCTCGGGTACAGGTTTTTAAGATGAGTTTTTGATCGAATTATGAGTGTGACCATATGGTCACGCTAGCACAACTCGGGTTTTAAAGTAACCATAAGACATGGATTTTTTAAAAAATATTTTTTGAAGTAACCAATAGGCATGGATCTACTTTGAGTGGAGTTTAAAAAAATATACATATGTATATATTTTCCTAAACATTTATTTTGAATTTATTTTCAATAATCTTCAAAAATGTGTCCCAAATTATTCGGTGATTTAAAAGAACTTCATCCAGAATTTGACGATGACACCAATGGAGGTCCTCCCCATCCTTTTAAATTCTCTCAGCGTTTCAAATATTTGAGGAAAATCGAAGAAAATTCAAAAGAAATATCTCTTCAAGCTGATACGAAGGAAAGCGAATCGACAGAATTTGATCATTTTTCAAAGAATCTCACAGAGAAGAAGTCCGGCGAACATGACAAAATGTCTACATCTTCATCTGCGGTTGAGTGGGAGCCCTCAATACATTACGACAAAAATCATCAGTCTACACAAACTCCAGACGACATGGGAATAACAGAGAACACAACCAAAGCAACCGCGGAGGATGAAGAGGACAGTTGTAAAAAATCTTCCCCACTCTGTATGGAAGCAATATCAGCCGGCAATAATCCTTCAACTTTGAAATCTCCCACCACCACAATTAATCGCAAAAAATCCTCTTCAAAAGCAACACAAAATAAATCCTCAGAAGGTCCAAAGAAAAAAACAAATTCGGCACTTATTCCACGCCTGTGGAAACCCATTGCCTTAAGGACTTCAAGAACCCAATCAAGCCACCTTAAATCTCTACCATTTTCCTATGATCTATCCAGCGAAGAGCTAAAGGCCATTGGTAGCATCAAACAACCAATGAAACCAATAGCTGCCGAAGATCTACAATATCTACGAAGTGGCAAACGACTGGAGTACTTAAAACAAAGGTATCAGCAATCACCGGATAACAAGTATAATTATCCTGAAGCCACCTCATGGCGCATTGGGTGGTTAGTTGCATCGTGAATTGTTTTTGTTTTTCCTGTTTACCAAAAATTTGCAAATTAATAAAAAAATCTAAGCCTTGAAAAAATCTTCTTTAAACAATCCACGGCTTGAAAAAAGTTTTTGATTTAAATATTCCTGCTCACTACCTTCACGCAACGAACCTCGTATATTCTGATTACAATTTTGTTTATGAAAATCTATATACTTGTATGTGTGTGTGTTCGTGCCTCTTATTGTGTGTGTGAGGTGTAGGCTTTTATATTATAACACATTCTTTGTATTAAATATATGTATATGTTCCGATGAGTGTATCATTATCATCTAGGATGTCGTCGTCCTCCTCCTCCCCATCGTCATCATCATCATCATCCTTTATAAATTAGATGGTTTTGTTTTGATAATAAAATTTGTGGTCCTGGGCCATATAGCTAGTGTAGAGATGCGATTTGTGCTTCCAACAGCATTTCCGCATAGCTGAATATCACGAAGATGAAGGAGAGGGGAGGAAGATGGAGCAATTCAAGAATATTTGCACATACTTAGTCGACACTTTAGGCTGATGAAAGTACTGTATGTGTGTGCGTATATGTGTCTATGTGTGTGTCTTATTTATGCATTTATTAGAATACCCACAAGAGGGAGGCGAAGAATGTAGGACTACGACCTTGTGCCATAAATGATGGCTTTAAAAATTTAGCAAAATTGGTGTGTGTGTGTGTGTGCGAATATTTTAATCAATACGACGATAAATCAGAATTTTGTGCCCAACATGCGTATACGTAATAAATTGTATTGTATGGAATATTACGTATACGTCCAAGTGTATGAGATATTAAAAATACTTATATGCCCCCCAGGTTGAAGAAAAATGAAATTTAATTGAGGTTTCTGTGTCATTACCAAAAAACCGAGATTTATTTCTATTTTTACAGATCAATGATTCGGAAAGATTCTTAAATTCCAAAATTGTGATTTTGGATTGGAAATGCAAAATTTGCCACATCATTTGTGGATAATTTTCTTTAGCTCTCAGTTGGGCCGCAAGTTAATTGGGAAATTCCGCACACCAACCTCCTATTCATCCAAATAAAAAACAGATGGAGGAAGAAAATCCTCAAACAAATGCATAACAATAACATTTATTTGATTTGATTATTCATACGAACCTATAGATATCCTCCATACATAGAGATATACATATCGATGATATGTTTATATGTATGTGTGTCAAAATATCCACTTAGCTGCCAAGAAGGTCGTCATCATTGTCTGTCTACATTTTCATTCGTTATTTCTTTGTTGGTAATGTTTATCGAATGTCAGATGCTTCGATGCTGGTTATTCGTTATTGAAATGGAATTTCATCCGGCATTTTATTTTTGGCATTCGTAATAATTGAGTCGGATTAAAGAGAATTATTGTAGCAAAATAATAATAATTTGTTGTTCTGTAATTTGGCATTTTGGATTCTCATTGAGTAGAAAATCTCCCTACCAAAAATTATTAATATTGGATCAAGTTTTAGGGTAGCTCCCATAAAAGGGTACCCTTCGATATTCTGTATTTTGAGCGCCTACTGGGCACGTTTTTCAACCGAATTGGCTGTAATTTGGCATTTTGGATTCCCACTGGGTAGAAAATCTTCCTACCAAAAATTATAAATATTGGATCACGTTTCAGGGTAGCACCCATATAAGGGTACCTCATAAATTTCGATTTTTTTTTGCAGAGATTGGGCACAGGTTTGAATCTAAGTAGCTGGATTTTTGGTATTTTAGGTTCTCATTAAGTTTCAGGATAGCTCCCACATAACGTTATCCCCGAATATTCGATTTTAGAGAAAGTTTTAGGGTGGCACCCATATAAGGTACTTCCCAATTTCGATTTTTTTGTGGTGGACACAGGAAACTGTAATTGGTAATTGTGGTACTTGCCAAAAATTATGAATATTTCATTTTTAAGGGATTTGGTATATTGTTTGGGTACGTTTTTCAACCGAATTGGCTGTAATTTGATATTTTGGGTTCTCATTGAGTAGAAAATCATCTTACAAAAAATTATCAATATTGGCCTAAGTTTCAGGGTAGCTCCCATATCAGGGTACCTCCCAAATATCGATATTTTGCGGAGATTGGGCACAGGTTTCAACCTAAGTGGCTGTAATTTGGTATATTGGGTTCTCATTGAGTAAAAAATCTCCTTACAAAAAAATCATGATTATTAGATCAAGTTTCAGGTTAGTTCCCATATAAGGGTACCTCCCGATATTCGGTATTTTGAGCCTTTTGGCCACGTTTTTCAACCGAATTAT